CGAGAGCCACATTTGGAAAACTGCTGCAAATTTGAAGGTTGGCGATCCTAAATTGCAAGGGGGTCTCAGGCGAAACGCCCGGCCCGGCCTACAGACGCGCCTGGGACTGAGACAGGGAGGAGTTATTCACAAGGAGAAAAGGATGTTGGAGGAGGAGGAGGAGCAGGAGGAGGAGGAGATGGAGGAGGAGGAGGAGGAGGAGGAGGAGGAGGAGGAATAAACGGAGGAGGAGGAGGAGGAGGAGGAGGAGGAGGAGGGGGGGGAGTTGGAGGAGGAGGAGGGCCCTTCTCCTTCCTCCCTCTCCGTGGTAGAGGCTCCGCCGTCGTCCCCCGCCCTCGCCCCTCCCACGCCGTCTGCTGCTCCTTGCTTTTTACGGCCACCGCTCCCCACCTCGCTTTGCAGAGGCAGCCGGTGGCTCCAGGGGGCGTCCGCCCCCGGAGTCACCGCCTGGCTTTCTGGTTTGATCACCCCTCCCAGGAGCGGGAAGGGAGGGGGGAGGGGGACCCAATTACAAAAGAGGCGCCTTAGAAAACCGGACCCAGGGGACGATTAATAAAGGGTTTTGGGTAAACGATGCTCACCAGCCTCGGGTGGGCCGTGCTCCGCTTCCTGCGAGGGGCCCTCGCCCTCCTCGCTCTCCGTCGGCCGGCCTCCGCTGGCGCTTTCTCGGCCGCCGTGCGCCTGGCAGCAAACCCGGGTCGCGCCGGCGGGGCCCCGCGGCCGTCCTCGCAGAACGGCGCCCACGGTGCGCAGGGCCGCTCGAGGCCCCGCGCGACGCCCGCTCTGAGCTGGTTCGGCGGCCAGGCACGGCACTTTGCGCCGGTGCCGCCACGGCGGGGCCGCGCGAGCCGCAGGGAGGGCCCCAGAGAGCCGCGAGGCGTGGGGCGCGAGGGCGGCACGAGGAGCGCTCGCGGTGCGGGCTCGCGAGCTGGCGTGGGCCGAGCTTGCCTTTGCCTGGGCGGCCGAGGATCGAGAAAAGACCAATCGATTCCCCCCCACTCCCACCCACGACCTGCTGAGTCGAAGGTGGGTCGCAGGTGGGGTGGTGGCGCAGGTGGGTCGCTGGTGGTCCTAGGAAGGCAAGTGCATGAGCTTTCAGCATCGCTCTGTCGCAGGCGTGGCCGTGTCGCTGGGTTTCTGGCCCAGAGGAGGATGGGAGGGAGGAGGTCACGCCTCCCCAGGCATGCGACGTCTTGACGTATTCAGGACGGCGTCCTTGGGAGTCCCGACCCTTTCCCCGGGGCCGGTTTTTTCATCCTGAGGGGCCTGGCGAGGGCCTCCAAGTGCCGAAAATAATCAAAAACGTGCCGTCCTGATTTTTGTTAGGACGCGATCATGTCTGGCTCCTCCTGCTCCTCCTCCGGGTCACCCGTCCCTCCTCCTGCTCCTCCGTCCTCCGCTCCCTTCTCCTCCTCCTCTTCCTCCTCCTCCTCCTCCTCCTCCTCCTCCTCCTCCTCCTCCTCCTCCTCCTCCTCCTCCTCCTCCCACTCCCACTCCTCCTCCTCCTCCCTTCTCGTGCTCCTCCGTGCTCCGCTCCCTTCTCCCCCTGCCTCCCGCATCCCCCCCTCCCCGGCCTGGTCCTGTCGGGCTCCCCCAGGCCGCCCGCAGCGGCAAGTTTTTTGTTGTCCAGCCCTGAGCTTAAGTCGGCCCCATTTCATTGTTTTAGGAGAGGGAGAACACAGACACAACTCATCGTCGACTCCCCGGAAAATATGGGAAAATATGGGAAGTGGGGGGAAGACAAAATCCCAGAAAATATTCCAAAAGATTGGGAATTCTTGGATTTGTGTCCCAGGGCCCCTTTACGCCTGTGAGGTTTGGTCTGTAGCGGGGCGTTGGCGGTCTCGGGCGTCACGGGCAATCTTCGACGAGGCTTGGCTTAAATCGGGCACGTCCCCCCACAGGAGAAATATTCAAGAATAGTCAAAACATACGCTGGGGACGATTTTTTGAAAAGTTTGGAGCACTTGGTGGCATGTTTGGACTAGTTTTGAATAATCCTCCAGAGTCCGCCTGTGGGGGGAGATGCCCAACCAAAGTCCCGTCCTGGGCCTCTGTGAGGTGTGGTCTGCTGCGGGGCGTTGGCGGTCTCGGGCGTCGCGGGCAAGCCTCGACGAGGCCGGGCGGCGGCGCCTTCCTTCTGCAGGCGAAGATCACCAGCGACACCGACCAGGCCGTGAACGCCCTCAACGGCAGGATCGACTTCACCAACAAGGCCGCGGGCCCGCCCGACCGCCACCCCGCCTGCTCCTTCCTCCAGCCGCCTTGCTCCAGCCCTGCTCTCTGCTCCCTCCCTATCCTCCCCCCCTCCCTCTTCCCTCCCTCGGGCTCCGCCTCCTCCTCCTTCCTCGCTTCCCCCTACCTGCCTCCCTTCGTTGTTCTGGGCTCCCTCCCGAGGTCTCTCCTCTCCTCTTCTCTTTCCTCGCCTTCTGTTCGGGGGTGGGTGGAGGGGGGTTGTGCAGGAGGGACGGATGAACGACGGGGAGGGCGTGCAGGGAGTATAGGATGAGCGGGAGGGAGAGAGGGGAGTCAAGGGAGGGGAAAATGGCAGGAGGAGGAGGAGGAGGAGGAGGAGGGGGAGGATATGCTTGAAGGAGAGGACATAATGGGGACGAATTGGAGGAACGGGAGGGTGAAAGGGGAGGGCAGAGGAAGGACCGGAGTGGAGGAAGGGAGGGAGGGAGGAAGTGACCGAGGGGGGGCAGGACAGGGGTGATGACGAAGGACCCAACCATATGCAGGTGTGAGTACCGCAATTGTGATTCACTTTTTCGGTGGTGATCCCTATGAGGCAACGAACCGTGCTAGGGGTGTGCCGAAATGAGCGGCGTGGTACACAATGCGAACGAAAACGAACAACACAATGCGGACTGCGCCACGGGGACCTCCGGTGGGGCTCCATATGGGGCCACGAAGCGCTGTACTGGGTGAGGGAGACGCATGCGGACCACGCCACGAGGACCTTCGGTGGAGTTCCCTATGGGGCCACGGAACGTGTGAGGGGTGTGCCGAAATCAGTGGCGGGGACGCATGCGAACTGTACCACTGGGACCTTCGGCGGAGCTCCTATGGGGCCACAAAACGTTTGAGGGGTGTGCCGAAATGAGTGGCGGGGACGCATGCGAACTGTACCACTGGGACCTTCGGCAGAGCTCCTATGGGGCCACGAAACGGTTGAGTGGTGTGTCGAACTGAGTGGCGGAGACGCATGCGAATTGTGCCACTGGGACCTTCGGCGGAGCTCTTATGGGGCCACGAAACGTGTGAGGGGTGTGCCGAAATGAGTGGCGGGGACGCATGCGGACTGTGCCACTGGGACCTTCGGCGGAGCTCCCATGGGGCCACGAAGCGTGTGAGGGGTGTGCCGAAATGAGTGGCGGGGGCGCATGCGAACTGTACCACTGGGACCTTCGGCGGGGCTCTTATGGGGTACGAAACGTGTGAGGGGTGTGCCGAAATGAGTGGCGGAGACGCACGCGAACTGTGTCACTGGGACCTTCGGCGGAGCTCCTATGGGGCCACGAAACGTGTGAGGGGTGTGCCGAAATGAGAGGCGGGGACGCATGCGAACTGTGCCACTGTGACCTTCGGCGGAGCTGCCATGGGGCCACGAAACGTGTGAGGGGTGTGCCGAAATGAGTGGCTGGGGCGCATGCGAACTGTACCGCTGGGACCTTCGGGGGAGCTCCTGTGGGGCCACGAAACGTGTGAGGGATGTGCCGACATGAGTGGCGGGGACGCATGCGAATTGTGCCACTGGGACCTTCGGCGGAGCTCCTATGGGGCCACGAAGCGTGTGAGGGGTGTGCCGAAATGAGTGGCGGGGGCGCATGCGAACTGTGCCACTGGGACCTTCGGCGGAGCTCCTATGGGGCCACGATACGTGTGAGGGGTGTGCCGAAATGAGCGGCGGGGTCGCATGCGAACTGTGCCACAGGGACCTTTGGCGGAGCTCCCATGGGGCCACGAAGCGTGTGAGGGGTGTGCCGAAATGAATGGCGGGGAAGCATGCGGACTGTGCCGCTGGGACCTTCGGCGGAGCTCCTATGGGGCCACGAAGCGTGTGAGGGATGTGCCGAAATGAGTGGCGGGGGCGCGTGCGAACTGTGCCACTGGGACCTTCGGCGGAGCTCGTTTGGGGCCACGAAACGTGTGAGGGGTGTGCCGAAATCAGTGTCGGGGACGCATGCGAATTGTGCCACTGGGACCTTCGGCGGAGCACCTATGGGGTCACGAAGCGTGTGAGGGATGTGCCGAAATGAGTGGCGGGGACGCATGCGAAGTGTGCCACTGGGACCTTCGGCGGAGCTCCTATGGGACCACGAAACAACGTGTGAGGGGTGTGCCGAAATGAGTGGCGGGGATGCATGCGAACTGTGCCACTGGAACCTTCGGCGGAGCTCCTATGAGGCCACGAAACGTGTGAGGGGTGAGCCGAAATTTAGCGGCGGGGACGCATGCGACCTGTGCCACCGTGGGCCCTTTGGCGGAGCTCCTATGGGGCCACGAAACGTGTGAGGGGTGTGCCGACATGAGTGGCGGGGACGCATGCGAACTGTGTCACTGGGACCTTCGGCGGAGCTCATATGGGGCCACGAAACGTGTGAGGGATGTGCCGAAATGAATGGCGGGGACGCATGCGAACTGTGCCACTAGGACCTTCGGTGGCGCTCCAATGGGGCCACGAAGCGTGTGAGGGGTGTCCCGAAATTAACGGCGGGGACGCGTTCAAACTGTGCCACCGAGACCTTCGGCGGAGCTCCTATGGGGCCATGAAGCGTGTGAGGGATGTGCCGAAATGAATGGCAGGGAAGCATGCGAACTGTGCCACTGGGACCTTCGGCGGAGCTCCTACGGGGCCACGAAACGTGTGAGGGGTGTGCCGAAATGAGCGGCGGGGACGCATGCGAACTGTGCCACAAGGACCTCTGGCGGAGCTCCAATGGAGCCACGAAGCGTGTGAGGGGTGTGCCGAAATCAGTGGCGGGGGCGCATGCGAATTGTGCCACTGGAACCTTCGGCGGAGCTCCTATGGGGCCACGAAGCGTGTGAGGGGTGTGCCGACATGAGTGGCGGGGACGCATGCGAACTGTGCCACTGGGCCCTTTGGCGGAGCTCCTTTGGGGCCACGAAACGTGTGAGGGGTGTGCCAGCATGAGTGGCGGGGACGCATGCGAATTGTGCCACTGGGACCTGCGGTGGAGCTCCTTATGGGGCAACGAATCGTGTGATGATGTTGATGATGTTGATGTTGATGATGATGATGACGACGATGATGTCGATGATGTGGATGATGAAGATGAAGATGATGATAATGATGATGGTAATGCTGATGAGGATGAGGATGATTATGATTATGACGATGATGATGATGATGATGATGATGATGAGGATGATGATGATGATCATGATGATCATGATGATGATGATGATGATGATGATGATGATGATGATGATGATGATGATGATGATGGTGATGGTGATGATAATGATGATGGTGATGATGATGATGATGATGATGATGATGATGATGATGATGATGATGATGATGATGATGATGATGATGATGATGATGATGATGATGGGAGGAGGGGAGGAGGAAGGCGGAGGAGGAAACGCGGGGACCGTCTCTTCAAAACGAGGACCCAACAACACAGGTTGGTGGGGACAAGAAACAGCAAGGGGGGGAGAAGCGGAAGGGCAGGGCCGCTCGGGAGTACACCCCGCTGGTGGCTTTGGACGCCTCTGCTCTCCCCTCTGGCGTCCTCCTCTCCTCCCACCCGTCGCTCCGCCCCGCCCTTGCCTCCCCGCCTCCTCCCTGCGATCCCCCCATCTACCCTAAGTCGGGTGTGTCCCTCTACAGGCGGAGTATTCAAAAATAGTAACAAATTAGTCCGGGGACGATTTCTAGAGTATTTTGTGAATTTTTGAGCATTGTTTAGGTATTTGTTTCGTACCAACTCCGCCTGTAGGGACACATGCCCGACCTAACTCTACCGCCTTCGCATCGCCCTCACCCTTTTCTCTCGCACCCGCCTCCCTTCTCCCTCCGTCCGTCGCGGTGTGCCGAAGTGGTGTAGTATATACACGCTGTAACCATCACGTTTCTCCGCCCCTTACCCCCGTGCCGACCCCATTCCCTCTCCCTCTCCACTCTCCGCTTCCACCTTCCTGCCCCTCTCCTCCTCCCCGCTTCCTCCTATTCCACTACTGTGCATCCGTCCTCCGCGTCGTTCGACGTTGTTGTGTCGTCTCGCCGTCGTCGTTCCGTCTTCGGCGGTGTCGCCGTCGTCGTCTTTGTTGTCGTCGTCGTCGTCGTCGTCGTCGTCGGCGCTGTTGCATTATCCCTTTCTGCCTGGACGCCGCGCCTTTCCGTAGGCGAGGGCAAGGCCAACCTAGAATACTAGATCCCTTCCTTCTCGCTTACCCCTCAGCCCCCACTGATCGCAGTCTGTCCAGGGTTTGATCGATTTGATGATGCTTGCCGATGTCTGCGAGACTCTATCGAGCCGACTGCGCGCCCCCACACGGCGACTCTCCTCCTCTTTGGGTTCGGCTCGACCGACTTGGTCAGGCAAGCGATGTGGGGCAGCCTTGGGAGCTCGATTGATCAGTTGATCGAATCGAGCGATGCGGATTTCGATCGATCGATTGTGAAGGCCTGACGGCTGGTGCCGCCGACCCTGAAAGACATCGACGACGACCAGGAGGGGGTGGAGGAGGAGAAGGAGGATTTGGATTGGAGCTCATGTAATCCTGTCAAAGCCTGGCGTTGATCAGCATGGGTGGCTGTTCGTGGCTGGCAGCTTGGGTGGCTATTCGTGGCTGCCCTCACGGGTGGCTATACGTGGCTGCTAATGCTGGTGGCAGGACGACCCCACCTGATTTGCGCCATAAAAAGTTACAGCCTGACTCGTGCAGCATGGGTGCTATGCGTGGCTGTCAGCCTGGCTGGCTATTCGTGGCTGAACGCCCCCCCTGATTTGTACCAATAAGAAGTTACAGCCTGACTCGTGTAGGATCCTGAGACAGCTACTACGCAGCTTACCGAGATACCTTGCGCAGCCCTCCAGCGCGCTCTGCACCAGGGCAGCACAGGCCAGGCCCGCACTCAGGCCCGCACGCAGCGAGCTCGGCGAGGCGGGCACGAAGGCATGGGGTGCCTATGTACTCTCACCCCGTCCCCGCCCACGACCCCTGCCACGACCACGGCCA